AGGGATTTAACTACAAATAGTGCGTACCCATAGCTGTGATAAAGGCTATCTTATCCCTATATTTTGTTACATTTCAAACTACCATTTATAGACTTTCATGTAGTACCATTTCTTCACTCTGAAAATTTTCTTTTAGGATACAAAAACTGACAGGAGAAACTACAATATAACCACTTTTAGAAAAACTTTTTAGGGGAATCTGAGCTTGAATACATCTCCAAGAAATGAACAGAGCATAGAGGGTCTGATAGATAGCATCCAAGCAAAACATACCTTATAAGTAAGTAGAGACTTTTCTTGCAGTTATGGTGCATTCTTAGTGCAAAATAAAACTTACAAGAGATTTCGATTTTGTAGCTTCAGAAAAGAAATCTCGAAAGAAAGCCATAAGCTGCACCTAATCAGAAGAGTTTTGAGGACACCTGGCATACAGCGTTTCTAGTATGCCTGACATGAAAAAATCAAAATTATAAAATACTACATAAGAAAGGTATGTTAAAGATACAGATTTTGCCTTTTTTTCCTCCAAGATCTAATAATGTTAAGACTCCGCTGAAAAATTGCATGGTCGGCCTCAGCGACGATTATTTTAAATCAATTTTAATTACATTAATCAGCCGTGAAAAATTATTTACTGATCCAACGGAGTCTTTCAAATTTTTTATATCTGCTTCCAACAAAATCTGAAGCATTCTTCCCGTAGTCGCTGTAATTCCCTTGATTCCTCAAATGTTAACCAGGTGATGAAAGATGAAGAGAGCATGATTCCGGAATCAGTAATGTGTGCATGTGCCCTGAGGGTGTGCCGACTGCGCAATTAGAGTGGCTCAGTGCCAGCTGTCCCCACTTTTCCCTCTGGCTTCTATTCCTTCTGCATTCAGCCGCATATGGCACCTCATATAGGAATCCGATTCCAGAAATGCAAAAGGACCCCGCCAGGCTATCCGTTTGGACAAGGCCTTTCTGAAATTAAAATGGGTCAGCTGCTGCTGCTCCTGCTGCTGTTATGCGGCTTTGTGTGAAGAATAGCAATGTTTGGTATAACCCTGGGTTATATGGTTGTGCCTTAAAGCTCTATCGTTTAAAGCGGAATAGAGGCGAGTGGTAGGGAAATGTGGTATGGCATGCACATGTATATGTTGTTTAATAGAATCGCTACACGGTGCTTCAAAGAGTGTGCCCCTATATTGGACACCTGGGCAGCGCACCTGCGTACTCAAATCGAAAATGATCACCACCACCACCGCCAGCAGCAGCCGTCCGTCCGTCCGTTCGTCTATCGTAACAGCTCTCCATCACACCCAATAACAAAGAGCTCACACATACGGAGATTAGTGGTAAAGGCGCACACATGTCCGATTTCATTCACATACAGCCTAATCCATTGAGGATAACTGACAATAATCGCTGAGGGCAGAAGAACCAGTTGTAGACACATCTTGAAACAAAGTCATTTCCGTTGCCACTCCCTTTTCAGCGCTTGATGTCCCAAAACACCTGTCCTAACGTTAAGGAATTTCACTCACGCGCTCTATACTGTCACTTTCTCTTGAATAATCACAGTTCAACAGCATTTTCGCGCACTTTGATTTAAGTTGTTTGGGACAATTTAAAATCTT